TATATATATATAGTTTCAATGCCTCCTAGTTTCTGTCCCCATTTTAAATTAGCTTAAGGATTTACTTCGCGTACCACATGGTAGACACTGTCAGGTAAATGTCATTTTATCTACAGACATTTTGGACTGCTTTTGGCGCTGTCGGATACAAATTGTCCTTTGTGTAGCTCCACAGAAAAAATTGTAAGAGGCTAAACATCAGCACCATTTAATCTCAGCAAAATGAGCCGGCTTGAAAATATGGTTCCGAGTAGGTTGATTGGTTTGCTCTCGTGTTGGAAGCAAAGGCTTTTTCGCTTAAGGCCTTAATTAGGATCTACAAAAAATATGCGTCATATTACGATAGATTTACCATTGACTATTGTCACCGTTTCATCGTCATGTTATAAGAAAACGGGTCTAATGACATTTTTACACTGCAAACTGCAATGTTCGGCACTTGACCTTTGGGCTCTCTAAACCTGAACGAAAGATGTCATCAGTATTCTGTGCGAGATTTATGAAGTGTCCCCGTAGTGGCAGATAATGAGTTTTAGAAAAATCCAGCTTTGTTTTTCATTGTAGCTTTTTACCGTGGCAAAGCTGCGCTGCTGTATTTATCGCGTGCCAGTCTACTGATTTTAATTCGTCTACAGACTCAGAGAAAAGAGACAAAATTCTGCACTAGCTTTTCAGCCACCCTTTAATACTGAATAGATTAGAGCAAGGCAGTGCCATATGTACATTGTGTTGCTTGTGCTACTTATTTAGTTGTTGTTCTTCTAAGAAGACGCATTATTAAAGAAATTCTTCCAGTCCACAAGTTGTCACGTATAGTAAAAGTCACGTATATTAACGAGTTGCAGCATCATAGACACGGCATGTATTTCACGTACGGCTGTGTGGTGAGAAGGATCATTGCTGGTTCTATTTCACTTGTATAGCCGATATAACTAGTTTTTCCGGAAACATTTCATAACCTCAGAGCGTTTGTGAAGGGAAGGGCAAAACATCACAGTATTTTTCTAAGAAAACGCTTCCCGACTGATACCTTCCTAGTGTTTCCTGGCGCGCGTGTCGCTGCAGCTCCTCAACGATTTTAACACCACGCACTTCTACCCATCGTTGTAGTATGCTCTCAACGCATCTCCTTCATGCATTCTTTACAGTCCGTATCTGATGTCTTCGTATCCTATATAGAGGTGTGCTTCTTGTACAGCACACGTCTCATCTCTTTCGGCGATTAAGCCTTTTTCCTTAGGCTTTAGCCTATTTTTTGCTTCGATGCCGTCGACGCCGACATTGCGGACCTGATGCTGCTACCGGCTCCAACGGTGGCCCTGAGAGTGAACTTTACCCTGGGGCGATCTAGAGCTGCCTTATGCGGCGATTTTACCGGTGGTATTTGCATTCGCAGTCTGATCCTCCCAGCGCTGGCCGGTTTATAGGTTTCGTATTCCAGTCTGTTTCACAAGTTTGGACGGAAGTTGGACTCGTTGCTGTCATCAGCCTGTGAAAGAGTGGGCCTTTAAACGGAGACTGACCATATATAAACCAGCGACTAGTGCCTTTATACCCTAACTGCAAACGAAACAACAACTGTTTATTGTTTGCATTCTTCATTACACCAATAAAAAACTAAATAAATAAATTTCATTCAGTCTGTGTTGAAAACACAGTGTTTTTAGTGAGAAGATATAGCTAGTTTTATCATATGGCTTCGAAACATCAGTGTGCATATAATTAGCTAGGCCATGGGTTTAATAGGTTTAGGCTTGTTCCATATGCACCAGCTTAGTGCTGTAAATCTGCTTCGCACAAAATTATGCTAAGATTTGTTAACCAAGTAAGCAGAACATTTTTCACATCGGAAGGCCTGTGTGATAGAACGTTTTGAATGGATGAATACTGGGGCAAATCTGCATATTGCCCCATACAAAAGACCAACAGACAAAGTTGCTCCATTCACTAAAAAGGCGACTTCAGGCCACGAAAACAATGTTGTCGCTTTACGTAGCCAATATCTAAATTCTACAGCGACCTGCGTCCGGCTGGATGATTCAGAACGTACGTACTAGAGAAAAAAAGTATCGTCCGTGCATCTTATTCATCAAGCATATCTGTATCCTTCAGTTATCGCTACCTATATCCTATTTATGAATCACTTCAGCTGTAACGGTATTACAACCCATCGAGGCGAGCTTGTGGACTACGGTTGCTGGCGGTTCTATATCTATTCGATTTCGATAACAATATTCCTGAGCCATGATGTCAGTCCTGTTACCGATATATTCGTCACATGCAAAATCAAAAATAAGGCAAAATTTTAGAGTGAGACTTACCCTAAGAAAGAAGTAAATGTCGGATGCGTACACCTATGGCAGCTTCGAGTTTGCACCAGTGTCCACTGTCAAACGCCAAGCTCTAGGCTACGGACAAGCTCCGTAGAACGCGCTTCCAAAACTTTACCGGTGTCTAACGAAATGGGTACAGCATCTGATCGAAGTGTTTGAGCCCAGCATGTGACCACTCCGTCTTTTTCGAAAATATAAACTATTGCTTCGAAGGCCCTGGAAGATTTTTGGCTTTTACTTGAGGCACAGCATTCCTTGTAGCCGGCTACTTTCGTTTCCAAAACGGTCTGTCAAAAATAACATACGCATCGCAGCTACAAACGTACCTTGAATAACGTTGCAGCGTGTTCTTATATAAGTGGCTAACGTACTATTGTAGCCCGATAGTTTAATCCATCAGCTGCTCGGCCTTCACCAATCAATTCTTAAATAGGTTTACATTATGAGATGTCGCTCGGTGTCGATCTTTGCTGCAGCACTGGAAAAGATGGTCTCAATGTAATGCAACATTCAACAATATGAGTTCACAATGTGAAGATTCATGTAAGGTCTCAGTTACCTACGCAAAAAGAAGGCCGCTGCTCGAGACAAAGCTTGTAATGAGCACCACAGTAAAACCTTTGTGCAGGCGCCAGTGCAGAACTATTTAATCGATGCTTATGTACAAGTACACCCGCAGTCCGCTGGAAAGATAACAGTTTATTAGTAATACAAAGGGAACTCCGATCTCATTGCCATCGACGGAGAGAAACTAGAAGAGCGTTTGTTACAAACTTCCTAATTAACCTGCTCCAACACCTCATTTAAATACATACATGCTAGCATGACAAAACAACATGAGTTCCGGAAGACACGTTGCAATAACGGCCTGCAGGACTCTGGTAGTCGATGTTAAGGAGCATTGGCCACGCGATCTAGTCCGCTATAAGCGGTGTTTGTCGATTTCACCACGGCGCTGAAAGATCAGTTTGTGCTTAGAATAGCAGAAATAAGTGTTTCTATCTTCTTGCAGAAACCCTACAAAAAGCAATAGGATTACCATCGACGACTGACTGGTTGAACCCAAGTTGCTTGAAGTTTGAAAGTCTAGCTAAATGCTTACAATAATATGACACAGACTGTTCAGACGTTTTCTGTATTTATTCTGAGCTTGCGACATAATTTTGTCAATCGGTGCACCGGTCATAAGGTGCTGGTATATGAGCATGAGTTCATTAAATCTTATTGATGTTTTTACGCGACGTCTTCCGTCAGTAGAAGACTACGAGATACCCTAAACCCACTAAATAGCTTTGTACTTACTAATTGGCGTTCACGCTGTATTGGAGGTCTAGGCGCGTCTTTTCTTAAAGTGCTGGAATCGCCTTCTTCGAAGGCTTAAGTTTAACCGAGGCTCATCGCCAATTCTCCCACTGGTTTCAGCTGGTTACATGGCTCATTATCTTTTCTTGCCAGGTATACTAACTATAATTTAAACTGCTCGCACTATACATATTTATCCAATAAGGCGTATGCAAATAATATCGATACTAGCTGGCGTGTAACTATTGGACCAGTCAGTTGAATAGATACCTCAAAGGAGGATGCAATTTACTGAAGTGCTAAAACAGGTTAGAATACTACACGTGAAGGGTTTCCGTTTAGAAGTCGGGTTTTAAAATATGTACTGTTTATACTTTTTTTTGATGAACCCACAATATAAGTATTCCAAAGGTTGGCTTACAAAGTAGCAGCGAGTGAGAATAAGGCTTTTGGCATAAAATAGTGTAAACCATATATGTTGCTACAGCAACGATTGCAAAGGTGGAATTTGTTAAATCTATTTTGTGCGAACTAGTATTTTTAGGATAATCAACCATTAAACCAGGACCCTCTTACACAGAAATATATATTCTGA